AGTGAGCAGAGATTGTGCCACTGCACCCCAGCCCCGGTGACAGTACAAGACTCTGCCTCAAAAAAACAAAAATTAGGATATGAAACCTTGTATTGTTTTATGGAAATGAGTATATATTTCTTTGCAGCATTAAGACAATTCAAATATATGAGGACATAAATTTGGACATAAGCTGAGTGCCTATCAGTAAGGGAATGGTTAGGTGAACTATGGTAAAGGTTTTAAGAGAATATGATGCAGGCATTTTAAAAAGTAAACATGAATGTATACAGCAACACTTGGAAAATATTTATAAAATATTTTTAAGTTATGAGGAAACAGAACACAAAATGATATATATATACATGATGATTACAACAGGGGATTTTAAGTCTTTAACGATTGGTTCAAGACAGGCACCAACAAGTTAGACTGGATGCTGACCATCAACACTAGGTACACTTGCATAGGTGTTGCTTAACTAAGTATCAGCACTGGCTAAACTATGCACAAGTATGAATGTAACATAAGAAATTCAATTTAAAAATATTTACTGCATGTATATTATCTGCAGGCCTTTGCCAGACAGTGGAAATGAAATCGGATAAATGAGATGATGTCCCTGGAGGAATCCCCAGTCATGTAAATGAATGATCAAGGAGAAACATGGTCAGTGTTACTGCAGGGACTGAAACAAAAGGACGGAACATCTGACTGCTTGTGAAAGTGGGAAAGGTTTCATCAAGGAGGTGGCATTGCAGATAGAAGGGACCAGAACACATAGATACAAATTGCTGTTATTTTAGGGGAGTGACAATGAGTGACATTTTGTTTTTTTTTTTTTTAAAAAAAAAGCATTTTAGGCCGGGTGTGATGGCACACACCTGTAATCCCAGCACTTTTGGAGGCCAAGGCAGGCAGATGGTTTGACTGCTGGAGTTCGAGACCAGCCTGGGCAGCATGATGAAACCCTGTCTCTACTAAAAAAAAAAATACAACAAAAAAATTAGCCAGGCATGGTAGCATACGCCTGTGATCCCAGCTACTCTGGAGGCTGAGGCATAAGAATCGCAGGAGGCAGAGGTTGTAGTGAGCTGAGATCGTACCACTTTACTCCAGCCTGGGAGATAGAGCAAGACTCTGTCTCAAAAAAAAAAAAAATTAAAAATTAAAAAAGTTTGAAGTGTTAAGACATGTTTATTTTTTCACTCTGGATGTTTCTGCAGCTGGAATGGGGAGGAGGAATGGGGAAGATGGCATGTGATTGAAAAATAAGCAGTAGCTGCTTAAATGCCTGTTTAAGGGTTTCATGGCCAACCCAGTCAACGTGGACAGTGGCCTTCCCCAGCTTTGGATGGGAAAACAAGGTAGAGCTGGCTGTTGAGCTGTGGTTTACAGTAGCAATAATGAAGCCTTTTAACAAGTTATGCTATGATGAAAGTGAAATGGGTCACTACTTGTGACCTATTTATGCTCAGTGGAAGAAGCAGGACGGTAGAGTACATGAAGATGATTATAAAGAGCACTGGCAGGGGCCACTCACGTAGATCATCCATGCTGCATAACGCTCTTTGAGGTTGTACAGCACAGCAGGCTCATGCAGGTGAGTCATCATGGCCATGTCCTCGATCTTGTCATATTTGGGAGGGTTCATGGGATAAACCTGATCATCCTTCACTGTCAGAGTCTGGTAAACAGGAAAGATAACCGTTTACATTAATTGAGTGATCAAAAAAATTAAAAATCAGTAACGTGGCAAGCTCCTGGAATTCTACTCACTGCTCCTGCTTCAGTCTTCACTGTCACTTTTCCTGCTTCTCTGCTCTGGACCGTCCCTTTGACAAAGGATTCTTTGGGCTCCGCCACAAAGACAGATGTTTTGGCATCAAAGGGCCTATTCTGGGCCTCAATGCGCTCCTTTTCAGACTTTCGGAGGTAAGGAGCAGCCTCCCCAAAAACAGCCATTTCTGAGTCTGAACTCATGGCTGCTGAACTCAGAGGTCCTAAAGGAGATAAAACTTTTCACATTAGAGAGTCTGGATTGCCATGTATATCAGTAAATCTTAATATTTGTTGTATTTCATGGGCCCAGTTGGAAATTTCACTAGGCAGGTCTCCTGTGTTCACCAGGCTGTAGTTACTGAGATAAACATACTCACAAGAATGAAAATGCATCACGTGGTCTCTGTGTACCCAATACTGTATTCAGGGCTTTGCATTCGTTATCTTCTTTATTCCTCCAAGACTTATTCTCATCGGGAACTGAGTTACAGTCCTGATGTCAAGGCGGGACTTGACAAGTCAATGCTTGTCAAGTAGCTTGTGACCTTGGGTATGTCACTTAATTTTTTTGAGCCTAAGTGACTCCATCTTTAGAATAGGGATTATAAATTCTGCCTTTCTTAATTCACAACTCACGATATATGATGAAGATACTTTGAAAAAAAGATTTAAATGATGACTAAGAAAGTAATTTGAAATTGTTCAGGCTATCATTTATATATATAAGATGTCATGAATTATCATGTCACAAAATTCCATGTCTTGAATGTAATGTAAGAGAAATTTATTTCCTCCTTTACCTGCTCAGCCAGATTTGTTCAAGTTCAGTGGTTTATGGGAGATTACAATTTTGTTTACCTTTTTTCTTTTACGTTGGGTGCTTAGTATAGCTTCTCTAACATAATTTTTCTTGCATATTAAATACAGATAATCAGTTTAACCCTTTTAAACTAATTAAGGATAAAAACAGTAGCAAACATTAACCTTATTCTTCTACACTGAAGGGCCCCCTTTGCCATTCCAAATTTTCCTTTGAAGCATGCAGGCCCTGTTTGCTCCATTCTGTGTTATCTGCAGGTTGCCAGTGGTATCAGTAGAATGAAAGGTTTGGCAAAGAATGCTACTGCAGTCATTACGTGATCAAATTACTTGAAACTCATTTGTGTCATCTCTCTCAGTCTCTCCCTTTAGAAATGCAGTACATAGTGGTAGGGTAGATTAATACCTCTATTATATATGACAAAAATGCCATAGCACTCAGCATTGTGTAAGGCAACTTTTTGCAAGGGCTATAAAAAGTTTAAAGGAAGCGTTGTCCTACTTACTTCCTTTTTAATTTGTTGGATATGATGTTTACTAAGTGAATTCTAACAGCAGGATACATTTTTATCAAATTTGAGATTTTTAGCAAGGAAATCTGAGGGTAGACTCTTTTTTTCCTGCACAGACAATATATTTATTAAAAACAATTCCCTTGCTCAGATGTCACCCCACCGACGCTTGAGCCGTAAATGAGGATGTGTGCATTGTTCTGAAAGGACAGCCCTCCCTTTCTAACCCCCTTTCCTGAAGTACGGTTGTTAAAAGGTATTTACTGAGACAAGCACTCTCTGAAAGGTTGCTAAGTGACATAAATCCATCCCAGAGCCTCTTGCATTGTCTTCTAGGAACTGCTTAGGCCAAATCTTACCTTGTTAGCAAGTGAGAAGATGTAGCCTGGGAGTGAGACAGTTCTGTAAAAGAAAAGGGAAAAGCACTTGATTAATTGACCAAAAAGAGGGGAAAAAAATCGATTTATGGCATTACTTGCTATTGTAAACAGAAAGTAACAAAATTCACAGAGGTAAAATGTGGAGTTCCAGGAGCAGTACCAGAACTAGCAGCTGCTGCTTACACTGGGCAGTGTAACCAGTGTCCCTCTTGAAAGACCGTCCTGCTCCCACTTACCTTGGAGCTTTTTAAAGCAGGACGAGTCAGCCTCATTCCAAGGGCTCTTTTATATGGATAGCTATGGAAACAATGCAGCTGCCTCTTCTTTCTTAAGTCAAAAGGAATTGTTTGGCAAAATACCTCTTGGCAATCTAGCGTCCCCACATAATTCTCATTCATATTAAGAATGGTTGGATATAATTAGAAATATTTTTCTTATTGAGTATTTGGATAAATCTCCTATGGATAATTTGAGAAGATGATCTGAAAGAAAGATTCAAGCTGGTGGATAAAGGCCGTGTCTGGGCAGCCAGGATACCTGGCTTCCCTCGGAACTTCTTTTTGGCTTTGCTGGGCATACCATTCAGGCTTGCCTTGCATCACTTTCGCATATTGCACATGTTAAATCACATAAATAAAATACAAATATGTATTTTAATGTTGTGAGAGTTAATTTTTACCTGTTGATTCTTTTTCTCCAGCCCTGCAAAATTAAGCAATGTGCCTTCAACAACTTAAAGAGATAGAAAGTCCTCTCTGTTGTGCCAATATTCCTGTAGTTTTAGGAATTTCCTTGCTCTCTCACCTTTTTGCTTTTGCCAAAGTTGTTCCCTTTACCCAGCACACCATTTCCTGTGCCCCTGCCCATTTGACTTGCCTGCAGTAAAAAAAAGGCTGAATGTTTTCTAGTAGCAAAGGCGTAATCAGAGAGTACTTTTCAACATTTTTTGTGTCATAGTATGCTGAGAAAAAATGACAATATTAGTGTAGTAATGTAGAAGGGATTTGTCTGTGTTGGTAAAGGGCTTGGGAAGAATATTTTTAATTTTTTAAACATTCCTTTATGTAATATAAATATAATAAATATATGCATAGTATTAAGGAAAATATAAAATACTGAATATATCTGAAACTTACAAATAATATCTTCTTGAAAATCTTAAGGAAAAATTTGAGCTATATCTCACAAATAAAACTTGTTTGTATCTGACTTTATACTTGAAATATGACACAAATTTCCTGATCAAATTTTCAAAAATGATACAAAAAATATCTGCATTCTTGATAATTAACATAGTGGGTATCTTTGCCAAAAAAGGAGGGATGAAAATGAAAACCTAGGTCATTTACCACTGTTGAAGTGGTAAAAATGTTAAAAAAAATTTTTTTTAATTTTTTAAGAGCTGTTTAAAAATTTTACCAGATCTTCTTTTTCTTTCATTGAAAAATATAATGTTGAATATTCTCATATAATGAAAATAAGTTTTTAATCCATTTGAACTCTCTCTTTCATATTAAATATTTCAAAGGATAATGAAGCTCCAATCTTCAAAAACTTCATGGGTTAAAGGAGTCACCCAGCTGCTAGGCTGGTCAAAGGGCACACCAGTCACAAATATACAGAAGTACCTGATCTCTTCAAAGTCTAAGGTTTGGAGCTATCGCTGTGAGCTACCTCTTCCAGTACAACCTGCTTAGCCTTATGGCACCTTTACTCTGGCTGGATACTCTCTGGGTTGCATGCCTTGTCCCAGACATCCTGGAACACCAACCCTCCCAGCAATTCCAGGGGTCTCTTGACTACAGAAGACAGCACTACATTCTCAGCTGGCTGCTGAAGTCCTTCTTGGTTCCATCCAGCACATGGCAAATACCACCATTGCGCTTGCCTCCTGTAGGGATCATAGGTTATGCTGTCAAACGCTAATGCAGCCCAGTCACCACTCTGAGGAACCCTTGGTCAGCCTTCTTCTAGCTGGGAGCCACCTCCCAAAGCTGTGGTCCCCCGTGCCTGTCCAGCCATTCTGAGACTGAAGAGATCAACATTTTATCGCACAACAGTTACCTTTTTGATGCCAGAGCACACTGATTGGGAAGCTCTGTTTTAAGGTGAGTTGTGGAGCGGTTTTTTCAAACTAGACTGCCATTTTTAGTGCCTACAGCAAAAGTTTAATATTCTCTTGTTCCATCTCTGCTGCCAGTAGACATTTTCCTTATGTTTAAATAAATATTTAATGTTATTTACAAAATGATCTTCTTTTTTTTTTTAGGCAGAGTCTCACTCTGTCGCCCAGGCTGGAGTGCAGTGGTGCCATCTCAGCTCACTGCAACCTCTGCCTTCTGGGTTCAAGCGATTCTCCTGCCTCAGCCTTCTGAGTAGCTGGGACTACAGGCACATTCCACCATGCCTGGCAAATTTTTTGTATTTTTAGTAGAGACGGGGTTTCACCATCTTGGCCAGGCTAGTCTCAAACTCATTTTTGTATAAATTACAAATATAATTTTCACTTCAAGTGATCCGCCCGCTGTGGCCTCCCAAAGTGCTGGGATTACAGGCTTGAGCCACCGCTCCCAGCCTGATCTTCACTTTGAAGTCAACTCATGGTTCTGTATTCTGTTTCTTCAGTTGGTAAACTCCTTCAGTGAATACTGTATTCTATAGGTAGCAGCTGTCTAATACATTGTTTTTGATTGTAAAGCAGAACATGCAAAGTCTTGTTCCCAGTGGTTGAGAGACACACCTTAGTTGTTCCTGTGCCACGTGTCTCATGATTTGTGACTTTTTTTCTCTGAGAACATGGGCTTAAGGAATATGTCATTCAGGATTATCTTTTCCACTCTGTAAACAGGTCAAAGACAGTCATTTTGCGTCTTTTTCTTGATTTCATTGTATTTTTACCACTGCTGCAATAAGTCAGGGGCTTTCTACTTTGCATTGCTCACACCTGGGAATAGCTGTCACGTTTTGGGGTGGTGACAGCTTGGGAATGAGCATCAGCTACTCATTGAGTGTTGCTACTCTCTGAATCTCCTTGCATTGTCTATGCCATTCAGAGAGAATAGCAGCCACTGACCTTGTCTTCAAGAAGGTTACAGTCTGAGAAATCAAGAGAGCACTAATAGATGGCTCAAGTCACCTTCAGAACAATGTGATGGAAGCCTTTAAAAGATACAGCGTGCAAAGAAGGATCCATATTTTCTGCATCTACTTGATCCTCATCAACACTTAGGATAGTATTTTCATGTAGAAAGTCCCCCTAAATTCTAGTTTATAAATTCCCACAGGCTCCAGGTTTCTTTATTCTAATCATTCTTGTCCCCAACAACTGAAATTGGGACCTGGATTTAACTTTTAACTACATACCAGCTGGATATCCTTGGAAATTTGCTAAACCTTCTCAAGACTCAGCTTCCTGCTCTATAAAAGGGATAAGGAAGTGGTACCTCATAGGGGTTTGTGAGGAGTAAATAAGACATGAAAGTGCTTAGAAGCTGGAAACAGTGCCGGGTACCCATCACCCATTCAACTGATATTAACAATTGTGATTACTATAGCCCTCCATAGTTTGTTAATTCTTATTCTGAAGTCTCTGTTGCAGTGAAACTAGTTTTCTTTCTGATTTCTCTAACAATATATGCTCCCTCAATCATTTCAATTACTCAATAAACATTTGCACAGCACAGCCATACGGCAAGCTCTCAGGTAAACTCCCTACTGCCACCATGGAATGCCCTCCTCTCTTTAATATTATTGTTTAATTCAAAATCAAGCTCAGCTCTTATTCAGACTTTTTTTTTCAATTATTCCCTCAGATAGAGAAAAGGCGGTTTGGCCCAACAGAGAGAAAAACACTTTCAGCTGTTACATTAAGAAAGGTGTGAAGAAATGAGGGCCCAGGCTAGGGAGTTGGTGGTGGAAATAGAAAACTGGTCAAGAAATTGGTTAACTGCTGATTTTTCGAGAGAGGCCCTGAATGTTAAGTAACTTGGTAGAAGGGAGACTGACATTTCATACCATACTTTTTGTATTTTCAAAATTTTATTCTGGGTACATGTATTATTGCTTTAAAAATTAAAATTGATGATTTGTAGAAACAGGATCCCCTCTAAAAATTGAAAAAAGAAAAAACAGAACAGATGGAATTAAAAGAAATATGACCACAGCATTAAAGAGATGGCAGAATAAGCCTTAGAAGAGTCAGGACTCAAGATGGAAGTCTTCCAGTGACTGCTTCTGTCTTTTTTCCATAGACTGAACCCCAGGCTCATCAATCCACATTGTTAATGAGTGTTGATATGGTTTCCTAGGAGTGCATTGGTTTTCTGGTTCAAACTTGGTACCTTTGCACCAGTAACCCACATGTATAAAGCCCCATCGATAGAGAGCTATACATCCAAATGTCTAATCATAGAACTTTCTGAAAATTTGCTTTATGAAGAAAAAAATTGGCTAGTAAGAGTCCTGTGGGAGAGCTCATAAAGTTGTCAAAAGACATAATTCAGAGCCACTTATAATTCGAATTAAAATATATAAATATATTCAAATTTATGTATGTATTTAAATTTTTATATAAATTACAAATATAATTTTAATCATATATTACATGACTTTTTAGTTCCAAATTTAGCTTTCAAATAATACATTGTTTAGTCCTAATTTGAAATAAGTGGGAAGAAAGAAAGTTTGTATCTACACTCATGGGTAGAATTGTACTGGAAGTTGCTGGATGGATGCTGTATTAAAATCCAAGAATCCAAAGTCTTGTTGTATGTAAAGCATTCTATTAAGTGCTTCAGAAAGAGGAAGGTGGGCCTAGCTCTCAGTAGTTCCCCCAGCACAAAGCACATAATCTGGATGTAAATAAGGGAGTTCGGTGATCCTTCATGGAAAACTTTGGGAGAAGCAAAACTAACTCCCTGAAGACTAAATTAATGTTTGTTTGTTTTTCTAACTTCACAAGTAAAATAGGTACATGGATATTCTAAAAGTTTGGAAAAAGCACAACAAAAGAATGAAAGTTAAGAGAAATGATTTCTTATTAGTGAGTGTAGAAAAAATTCATTCATTTCTGCACATTTGACCATTTACTTACCATCTTTTATTAGGTTAATTTGATTATGCAATTAAGAGGCATAATCAGTATGTATATGAACTCAGTAGTCCTCATGCCTGTCAAATATATGCATCAATACATACTGGCTGGATGACAAAGGAATAAGCATTATTCTGATAATGCCACTATTTACCTGGCATTTTATAGTCTGTATAATGAGCCTCTTTCAACAGCTCTGAAGTATGGTTAGGGCAGATAAATTCTCTTCATTTTCTTTTCTGAGAAACCATGATCTAGAGGGGTATTATACAGCTTACCTAATGAGGGTGGAACTCAAGATTTCTTACCCCATTCTCCATTGCTTTTAATGCCTAATATATGTAACTCTGAGTGCGGTTCACTCCAGAATTGCTCTAACACTTTTAAGTTGATTGTTAGGATGTACATTCATAAACTGCTAGCCTTACCCAGGCTTCTTACAATATTGTGGGGAAGATAAAATGATAAATATGCCAATAGTTATTGCAGAATGTAGAAAATTTTAAGTGTAGCGCTCCAAAGGAGGTGGCATGGAATAGCTGTTCCCCACAAAGCCTTTGCTATCCTGTTTGCTCAGTCTCTTTAAAATTAGCACACTGACTGAGAGAATAGATGCAGATTTCTTTCTTTCTTCCTTTGTTTCCTTCTTTCTTCTTTTCTTTCCTTCCTTCCTTCTTTCTTTTTCCTTCCTTCCTTCCTTTTTTCCTTCCTTTTTTCCTTCCTTCCTTCCTTCCTTCCTTCCTTCCTTCCTTCCTTCCTTCCTTCCTTCCTTCCTTCCCTCCCTCCCCCCCTCCCTCCCCCCTTCCTTCCCTCTGTCGCCCAGGCTGAAGTGCAGTGGTATGATCTTGGCTCACTGCAACCTCTGCCTCCCGGGTTCAAGCAGTTCTCTGCCTCAGCCTCCTGAGTAGCTGGAATTACAGGTGCCTGCCAACATCCCTGGCTAATTTTTGTATTTTTAGTGGAGATGGGGTTTCACCATCTTGGGCAGGCTGATCTTGAACTCCTGGCCTCGGCCTGTCAAAGTGCTGGGATTACAGGTGTGAGCCACAGTTCCCGGCCAAATATATACTGCAGATTTCTTTAATGAAGAAGTGGCATTTTGTTGAAGGATCAGGGAAGGCCACATAGAAATGTCATCTGAGATGGTCCATGAAGGAATTGGGTAGGATTTAACAAATGGGGATCCAGGAAGAAAGAAATTCTGGATGCAGGAACAGAAATAGAAACAACTAAGTTGGGAGGAAGAAAAATTGAAGTCTCTTTGAGGAAGAGAGAGCAGTCTTGTCTGACTGGAGTCTACCATAAGTGTAAGGAAGAAGTCTAGGGAGACAGTTGGGGCCAGATGCATTAGAAGCTGTTGTCAGACCTCACTTAGTAAGAACAAATGTTCTGGCCCAGAACTCCAAATGAGGCTAACCAGAGCAGCTTCTTTTTATCTTTGTTCTCAAACCACAGACTGCTTGTTTCCTTATTTTTCACTCGGTTCTACACTTTCAGATTAGTTCTCCATCCCCCACGTCCACACAGCCACTTTGGCTTCCCCCTTTCCCCCTTTGGCCTCCTTCCACTCTCGATCTTCCTCCCTTGACCATGCTTGATCCTATTGTCAGGGCACCTGTCCCCTCTCCTACTTCCGTGACCTGTGTCCTTCCTCCTGCTGATGCCTGTAGAAGCTGGAAACAGTTATGGGCTGTTTTTCCTGCCCTGCCAAGTCTACTCAGCATGTGACAACAATGAGCCTTGAACACTTGATACCAGGGTTTGACTTGAATAAAATATTTAACCCTCTTGGCTTGGACATGATGGCTGACATCTGTAATCTTCCAGCACTCTGGGAGACCAAGGTGGGAAGATTGTTTGAGTCCAGGGGTTCAAGACCAGCCCAGGCAACATAGTGAGACCCCATCTCCACAAAAATAAAAATTAAAAAAAGTTAACCACCAAATATGGGGTTATTGCCAAAACAACACTTCCATGAATTTAGAATGCTGCATCATTGAGTACCAAAATTATCTCATACTTGCTTTGAAACAAAATTTACCAACATTTTTTTGAGAAGTTTTAATTTTACTTGACTGTGATGATTTTCAAAGTCAATTTTTAGGAATGGAAAAAGTATTCAATTAACCCAATTCCATTTATCTCAGTTGCAAGAATAAAAACTGGATCAAAATAATTTTCATCTTGTCCTGCCAAAATCATCCCCCCACAAGCAAACAAACAAGTGCAAACCCAAACCCCGAAGGAGAAAAGAAAAAAAGAAGTATGATTTGGGGTGGGAGTGGAATTCTCATGATTGAGGGAGGAAAGATTTTTGCTATTTCTGTGAGCTGGACATTTCAAAGATTCCCAAATGTGGATCAACTTCCTCAAAACTGCTGCTTTTTCTTTGTGGTTTTGGCTTGTCCCAGGTCAAGCAACTGGTTCAGTGGACAGGAGTTGATTAAAACAAGGCTGTACTCCAAGGCTGAGGAGTATTTTTAGGTCTTGAGGAAGAATTTTTTTTTTGAAGGAAAGGATGGTAATGTCATCCAAAGTACCAGTCTTGTGCAGAAGCTGGTACTTGGCATGACTCAAGAAGCACTTCAAAAGGAATGTGGCCGAAGGCCAAGCTTCAGGAAGCCAAATGCTGGAGACCTAGTCATTCTTCTGGTCTGTTTGAAAAACATGATGGCAGATGTTTTCATGGATTTTCTCATCCTTTGTCCCTTTTACAAACCTTCATGAATACAGCCATTTGCTTTGTTTTGATTGCCCTGTGGAAGGCTCTAGCTTAATGTTCTAAATTCCTTCTTCTTTGAGCAATAAGAACAAATATGACCATTGAAACCCCCAAGATACATCATATTCTTGTAGGAAAATATTAGACGGACAATCTTGAATAGTCGTCAAAATAAGAATTATGTGAAGAACTGATGAAACAAAGATTGGATGCTGGTGTGTATACATGTGGATACACTCTGTGTTTATGTGTGCCCAGCATTCATGCATGTGCTTAACTAAAAATGCCCTATGCGGTTAGGAGAAAGGCAGGAATGGTGGAGCTACTTATTTTTCTTGGAAGATTCAGACTCATCAAGGGGTAGCTGGCTATATAAATAGACAGGTGCTCCCTGCTAAGATCTTACTAACACAAACTATTCTAACTTGGCATTCAGGAAAATCAGTAATTTAAGCGAAATAAAGAAACTGAATTTCTGGAAACTATCTTCAATTGAATCTTGTGATGCTGGTTGAGCTACTCAGGTCCCATGGGCAAAAACTTAGGAACAAAATGTTTTTATTGGTTGACTCAAATGCCATTGCATGGTGCATGACTGTATGATAGTTTCACAGTGTTGATGCCTATAAACAATATTTTAAAATATCTACAACCACTGGCTGGGCACACCTGTAATCTCAGCACTTTGGGAAGCTGAGGTGGGTGGATCACTTGAGGTCAGGAGTTCAAGAACAGCCCGGCCAACATGGTAAAACCCCGTCTTTACTAAAAGTACAAAAATTAGCGTAGCATGGTGGTGGGTGCCTATAATCTCAGCTGCTCAAGAGGCTGAGGTAGGAGAATTGCTTAAACCCAGGAGACAGAGGCTGCAGTGTGCCAAGATCATGCTGCTGTACTCTAGCCTAGGCAACAGAGAGAGACTCTTTCAAAAAAAATAAAATAAAATATCTACAACTACTGAAATATATGAACATTTATCTTGGTGACTATGATTTATCTTCATGACTGTGATGATTAATTTAATGCATCAAATTGACTGGGCCAAAGATCTCTATATCTATCTATCTAGATACTTAGATTTGTTTCCCATACCATATTTGAAGGAAATGAACTGCAGCTTCATTTTTCCTTAGTAACTTCATATTTTCCCAGTCCAAAGACTGCTCACTTTTCAAGACCCAACAGATTTCTCCACCCATTACAATCCCCACTGAGATTCCACATTTCTGAAGCCTTTGTGTCCATATAATGATAATGGCCAGCAAGCTGCTTCAGTTGTCCATAACATTTCCACTTTGTGTTTCATCTCTCCTATCTCAATGTAGGTTTCTTGCAAGCAGGGACTGGACTTCTGCTTATTCGAAATTCCCTACCTCAATTGCAACCAGCATACTGATGGGCACCAGGTACTCCAGTGGTTCTAAACCCTGAACACACATCAGAATCACCTACAGATGTTTGGGTTCTATTCCCCAGGGCAATGGTTCACATAGTTTGATTCCCTGGACCAGCAGCACCAGTATCACCTGAGAATTTGTTAGAAATGCAACTTATCAAGCCCTACCCACAACCTACACAATCAGAAACTCTGGGGTAGGGCCCAGCAGTCTATGATTTTGAAATCCACTAAGATTTGAGAATTGCTGCACTAAGGACTCTGATTTAGAAGGTATGGAGTGGAGTTCAGAAAACTTTATGGAAAAAGTACCATTATCTGGCAAACTCCATGAGGTCAAAGTAGGGTCCAATTTTGTATGCCATTATACCTCAAGTGCCTGTATTAGTGCCTGACACATGGTCTGGACTAGAAAGTATTTGTGGAATAAAAGAAAGAAATGCAGTTTGTGAGGCCCAGGTATAGGGCAACTATATTTCTCAGTGTCTGGTGACTTTTATAGAAATTAGATACAAGTTCTTTGGAAGATAAATATTCCCTTTGAAGGTGCCATTTATTGCAAGGCCTCAATTATTTAACAAATGATGCACTTGTGGCTCATTTAGTAGCTCCAACTAGTGATTTGGCTTATGAGAGAATTTTGAAAAACAATCCAAAAAGTCAGACTTTAGAAACCTAAATGCCTTTACCAAATTAAAGGTAACTTTGAATTTTTTTGTTTTTGTTTTTGTTTTTTTTGAGACGGAGTTTGATTCTTGTTGCCCAGGCTGGAGTGCAGTGGCGCAATCTTGGCTCACTGCAACCTCCACCTCCTGGGTTCAAATGATTCTTGTGCCTCAGCCTCCTGAGTAGCTGGTATTACTGCCGCCTGCCACCATGCCCAGCTAATTTTTTGTATTATTATTAGAGACGGGTTTTTACCATGTTGGCCAGCCTGGTCTCAAACTCCTGACCTCAGGCAATCCACCTGCCTTGGCCTCCCAAAGTGCTAGGATTATAGACGTGAGCCACCCTGCCTGGCCTGCATTTTTTTTCTGTCAGGAGCACTTACCACATTGAGTTCTTTGGGGATTTCTCATCTTCTTGACTACAGTGAGGACACTATGAGCTCTTGTACTCTACAGAAAAAAGGAAGAAAATTCTTCTGCATTTCACCTTCAAAATATAGGTAGAATAAACTAAAGCTACAGCAGACTAGGATTTCCAAGAGACCATTATATATATTCAAATAACAAGTTGTCAGAGAGTGTACTCTGTTCTTTAAACAGCTTGTCATTGATGCATTGATTCTACTACCTGAAAATTGTGGTGTAAGACCAAACAGAGAATGCTGAAAGGTATTCCTTCTCTCAGAGAGCTCACAGCACAGCAGAGAAACGAGAGCAGGAAAGACAAATAACTACAACCCCTCTTGATCCTCCTTAGTAGTCAATAGAGCCCTTTCCAATGTTTTTCTTTATCTGCTTATTTGTGAATTTGTTGTCTTCCCACCTCACTAGAACATAAGTGAAAGAAATCTCATTTACCACCACATCTGACTGGCATTGAGGATATTTCCTGGTGCTGGTGGACACAATAAATATCTCTTGAATGGAATGCCGGTGAAGGAAACACAAAGTTAAACACATGAATTACTACTTTTAAAATATTAGATCCCACACTGAGGCATTTATTTTCATGTTCTCTGATGAAGAATCATGCTCTGGATTCACATGGATCTGCGGGGTTCAAGTCTTGGTTCTGAAACTTGACTCTGTGTGGTCTTAACCACATTGCTTAACTTTTGACAGCTGCTGCCTCCAACGATACTCTATATTGTCTCACCTGAAGTTTAATTTATCTCTAAGTCTTTTCTTTAAGATAAGCCAAAAAATGTCCCATAATATTGAAAAGTGTATTTCACTGGTTCCAAGGACTCCTCACTTAAAACTTTGAAATTACAACTATTTTTATGAAAAACTATGTATGTTACATTAAATTTATATTCTTATTATTTTTGTAGAAGGCTCTTTAGCTGCCTCAAAGTGCTAAATTATCTTTTTCATAAGAGGATAATTTAACCCAGCAACATTGTGATAACTCGCCATGACTTCCAAATATAGCTCCAATTTACCCAAGCAATATTAAAGGACTTTTAAAATTAGGAGCACAGCTAAAGAATTTCCTCCTTGGTTTTACAAGTAAAATTAACGTGACTGCGAATAACTTTAAAACGTGAGACAAGACTTATTTACCTTAAGAGTATTATTGTTTAGTCTATTGAAGTAATTTTAAATTCCACTCTTATTATTTTAGGCGTCAATAACTCCAACAAAAAGTTTTTATTTGTACATATAGATATATGTGTTATGTTTATATAATCACTAAATGAATGTTTTTAGAACCATGTTTTTCAAACTTTTTCTTCCCATTGGTGAAATGAGATGGTCTTTTCCATGAGTTTTCTAAATAAGCTGCAAGATTCCTTCTCACGTGTTCTGTGAGATGTACTTTCTGGTAGTGAGACGCCTAGCCACCAACCTGGGACAACCATGAGACCTGGTGAGAGAATTGTTAAATCATGAAACTCTCCAAGCTTCTAGTGCTCTATAGGTAAGGTCAGAATTGTAACACCTGTCCTACTTTACAGATCAAATAAAAAATTGTGTATAAGAGTGCTGTGGTTTGACTGTGTCCTCCAAAGTTCATGTGTTGGAAACTTAATTCCAAATGCAACAGTATTGAGAAGTGGGACATTTAAGAGGTGAGTAGGAAACAAGGGCCCTGCCTTCATGAATGAATTAAATGCTGTATTGCAAGAGTGGATTCCTAATAAAAGGATGAGACAAGTTGGGCATCATTTCCCTTCTTCTCTTTTAATCGCCTCACTTCTGTCTTCTACAATGGGATGACAAGCAAGAAGATCTTCACTAGATGCTGGTGCTTTGATATTGAACTTTGCAGCATCTAGAACTGTGAGAAATAAATTTCTCTTCTTCATAAATTATCCAGTCTGGGAAACACCATTATAACATGACACAGAGAAAGACAAAGTGTTCCATAAGTGGAAAAACTATATATACATATGTGTGTATGTATAACAGCATATGTATATATAGTACTGTATCAGCATAACACTAAACACTACATATGTATAAATATGTATATACATATACAGCCATGCATCACTTAACAATGGGGATACATTCTGAGAAATGTGTCATTAGGCAGTTTCTTCATCATGCAAAGATCATAGAGTGTACTTACAAAAACCTAGATGGTACAGCCTACTACATGCCTAGGCCATGTGGTCTAGCCTATTGCTCCTGGGCTACAAACCTGTGCATGTTACAATACTGAATACAGGAGGCAATTGTAACATGATGGTAAGTATGTATGTAAACATATCTAAACATTGAAACAGTACAGTAAAAGCATGATATAAAAGATTAAAAAATGGTACACTGCTATAGGGTACTTACATAAATGCAGCTTGCAGGACCCAAAGTTGCCCTGAGTGAGTCAATGAGTGAGTAGTGAGTAGATGTGAAGGCCTAGGACATTACCGTACACTATTGCAGACCTTATAAACACTATACATTTAGGCTACATGCATTTTATAAAAACGTATTTTTCTTCAGTTATCAGCCTTAGCTCACCATACTTTTTTACTTTATAATTTTTTGGCTATTTTGTATTAACAGCTTAAAACACAAAACACATTGTGCAGTTTTGGAAAAATATTTTTTTCTTTAAGTTTATTCTATTTTTTAAATTATTTTTACTTTTAAAGCTTTTTTTGTTAAAAACTGAGACATAGGCTGGGCACAGTGGCTCATGCCTGTAATTCCAGCACTTTGGGAAGCCGAGGAGGGTGGATCACAAGGTCAAGAGATTGAGACCATCCTGGCCAACATGGCGAAACCCCATCTCTACTAAAAATACAAAAAATTAGCCAGGCGTGGTAACACACGCCTGTAGTTCCAGCTACTCAGGAGAATCGCTTGAACCCAGGAAGCACAGGTTGCAGTGAGCAAAGACTGCCACACTGCACTCCAGCCTGGCGACAGAGCAAGACTTCATCTCCAAAACAAAAACAAATACAAAAACAAAACAGATATAAACACACACAATAGCCTAGGCCTACATGGGATCATTAATATCACTGTCTTCCACCTCCATGTCTTGTCCCACTAAAAGGTTTACAATGTCACTAGGCAATAGGAATTTTTCAGCGCCATTGTAATCTTATGGGATCAACGTTGTACATGTGGTCCATTGTTGACTGAAACATTGCTATGTGGTGCATGACTGTATATAAATATATATACATATTTTATATAATATATACATATATGTAAGTTATTGCTGCTAATGTTCTTTAATGGCTTGCTTTTATATATGTATATATTTTATTGCACTTTTGGTTCTGGGGTACATGTGCAGAACATGCATACCATACATGGCAATGTGGTTTGCTGCCTCCATCTCCCTGTCACCTATATCTGGCATTTCTCCCCATGTTATCCCTCCCCAACCTCCCTACTCCCCGCTGTCCCTCCCCTGTGCCCCAACAACAGACCCCAATGTGTGATGCTCCCCTCCCTGTGTCCATGTGTTCTCATTGTTCAACACCTACCTATGAATGAGAACATGTGGTGTTTGATTTTCTGTTCTTGTGTCAGTTTGCTGAGAATGATGGTTTCCAGATTCATCCATGTCCCTACAAAGGACACGAACTCATCGTTTTTCATGGCTGCATAGTATTCCATGGTGTATATGTGCCTCATTTTCCTTGTCCGGTCTATCATCGATGGGCATTTGGATTGGTTCCAGGTCTTTGCTATTGTAAACAGTGCTGTAGTGAACATACGTGTGCATATGTCTTTATAACAGAACAATTTATAATCCTTTGGACAACAGTTTATAATCCTTTGGACAATCCAGTAATGGGATTGCTGGGTCAAATGGATTTTCTATTTCTAGGTCCTTGAGGAATTACCACACTGTCTTCCACAATGGTTGAACTAATTTACACTCCCACCAGCAGTGTAAAAGTGTTCCTATTTCTCCCACATCCTCTGCAGCATCTGTTGTCTCCAGATTTTTTAATGATTGCCATTCTAACTGGCGTGAGATGGTATCTCAATGTGGTTTTGATTTGCATTTCTCTAATGACCAGTGATGATGAGCATTTTATCATATGTTTTTTGGCCTCATATATGTTTTCTTTTGAAAAGTGTCTGTTCATTGTTTGTTTGTTTTTTTTTCTTTGAGACAGAGTCTCACTCTCTCGCCCAGGCTGGAATGCAGTGACGCCATCTCAGCTCACTGAAACCTCTGCCTCCTAGGTTCAAGTGATTTTCCTGCCTCAGCCTCCTGAGTAGCTGGGATTACAGGTGCACGCTGCCATGCCCAGCTAATTTTTGTATTTTTAGTAGAAACGGGTTTATACCATGTTGGTCAGGCTGATCTCAACTCCTGACCTTGTGATCCACCCACCTTGGCCTCCCAACCTGCTGGGATTACAGGTGTTACCCACTGCGTTCAGCCCAATGGCTTCCTTTTATAAATCCCACAGGAAATGGTTCCCAAAGCATTTCAGTGGACCAAGTCATTAGTTATTCACTGTCTAAGCCTCAGCTAGTAAGACTGACTGATTGTTTGTCATATTTAAAAGTACAAGATATTTTTTTTCACAGTTCAACACTGTTTGGCTTATGGCTTTTCTGTTTTTACTAGAAAGTATTGGAAAATGCAAATCAGTAAACACTTACTGACTCTGGATCTTAGCTAGAAGAATCCTTTTATTCCTCAACAACTACTTCTTAACTGAGGAATTGGAGCCTTGGATGGCAAAGGGACAGGTCTAGCCTGAGCAAAATGCCCTGGTGTCCCATAGGGATCTGGCAGCGACCTAGCGCAAATGTCCTTTCTCTTGTGACAGCCTCTCACAGACTCCATTGAGCCTTTCTCTATTCTGACATGGCACTTTCTTTCTGGTGTTGATTGTGTGGTGGGGAAGTCAGTTAGGGTTTTTGTTCTTTGTGGGTTTTTTTTTTGCAGTAAGTAATACCCTGCTATATGTGATAACATTTTAAAAATTAAGTATATAAGCATATAGAGTTAAAAAGTAAATGTCTTCCTTTTCCTCTCTCCCCCTCATCCCATTCAGCAGTTTGGAGCACGGCCTTCCAGATAAATTTGTATGCAGTTTTAATATACACATATAGAAAAATTTCACAGGCCAGGCCCAGTGGCTCACACCTGTAATCCCAGCACTTTTGGAGGCCAAGGCAGCGGATCACCTGAGGTCAGGAGTTTGAGACCAGCCTGGCCAACATAGTGAAACCCCGTATCTACTAAAAATACAAAAGAATTAACTAGGCATGGTGGCATGTGCCTGTAATCCCAGCTACTTGGGAGACTGAGGCAGGAGAATCACTTGAACCCGGGAGGTGGAGGTTGCAGTGAGCCAAGATCACACCGTTGCACTCCAGCCTGGGGGACAAGAATGAGACTTTGTCTCAAAAAGAAATTTTTTTAATAAAGAGACCTTTCTGTTTTGTTCTACATTTCAAAAATCTTTTCATGTCAGAACGTATATTGATATATCTGTTCCATAATATGCAAGTATATGATTTAACTTCTGATGAACATTCCTTCCTTTCTCTTTCTTCTTTCTCCTTTTGCTGTTACAAACAGTGCTCCAACAAACACACTGTTCGACATTCATGCACACAAACGTATGCTCATATACACTCATACACATATGAAGGACACTTTCATAATCTTGTTTTATACAATTAGCTCTTTAACGTAGGTAACATTTATTTATATTCATAATGTGATGTAAAAATTTAACTTTACTTTAAAAAATGGATATCTAAACCAGGTGGCTCATGCCTGGAATCTCAGCACTTTGGGAGGCCGAGGTGGGCAGATAACTTGAGGTCAGGAGTTCGAGACCAGCCTGGCCAACATGGTGAAACCCCATCTCTACCAAAAATACAAAAATTATCCGGGTATGGTGGCAGGTAACTGTAATCCCAGCTACTTGGGAGGGTGAGGCAGGAAAATCACCAGAACCTGAGAGGCAGTTGCAGTGAGCCAAGATTGTGCCACTGTATGCCAGCCTGGGCAACAGAGCAAGACCCCATCTCAAAACAAACAAACAAAAAATGGATGTCCATTAGTTTCAACCACTTGTTGAATATTTCTTCTTTTTCCCATTGGTCTAAAATGTTAACTTTGTCATGAACTATATTTGCATCTATTTCTGCAAATTTATTTGATTCTTGCATTGACTTGCATTTGTCTGTCTGTAGATATATTTGTCTGTATCGATGCCATACTTTCCAGTTATAATGATCTTAAAATCTGTAGGACAGGTCTTCAAACACTGTTCTTTTTCAAAATGCCTTCATTGTTCCTGTGCATCTTCTCTTCTTGCTGAACTTTAGTACTAGCTTATCAGATTCCATTTAAAAATTATATTTGTTTTAAATAGAAGATATTGAACATTTTTATCACAAAGAAATGTTTGAGATAGTGAATATGTTGATTATACTGATCTGATCACTGTATATTATATGTATAGAAACACTATGTACCCCATAAATATGTGCAATTATTATATGTCAATTAAAAATAAAATTTAAAAAGTTTAGGTTATATTTAAAACTTTAAAAATTAACATTTAGTGAAATTGGCTTTTGGGGCGATATATAATTCTGTGAGTTTTAGCACATGTATACATTTGTTTATTATTATTTTTATTATTATTATTATTTTGAGACAGAGTCTCACTCTGTAACCCAGGCTGGAAAGCAGTGGTATGATCTCTGCTAACTGCAACCTCTGCCTCCCAGGTTCAAGTGATTCTCCTGCCTCAGCCTCCTGAGTAGCTGGGTATACAGGCATGTGCCACCACACCTGGCTAATGTTTGTATTTTTATTAGAGATGGGGTTTCACCATGTTGGTCGTGCTGGTCTCAAACTCCTGACCTCAGGTGATCTGCCCACCTCAGCCTCCCAAAGTGCTGGGATTACAGGCGTGAGCCACCACGCTCAGCCAGCACATGTATAGATTTTGTATAAGCACTAGCACAGTCAGGATACAGAAGCGTTTTAGTTACCCCGAAAAATTCCCTTGTGCCATTATACCTTTGCTGTCACAACTTTCTCCAATCCTAATGCCTGGCAGTCACTGTCTATCAGCTGTCACTTTAGTTTTGTCTTCTAGAGAATGTTATGTAACTGATAACATACGTTAGGTAAGCTTTTGAGAACCGTTCTTTCACTCAGCAAAATGCCCTGAGATTCATTCAAGCTTTTGACTGTATCAGCAGTTTGTTCTGTCTTTTTGGTGAGTAGCATTCCACTGTATGGAAGTCCCACAGTTTATCCAATCTCTCCTGCTGAAAGACACTTAGGTTTTTGCAGCTTTGAGTCATTATGAATAGATAACTGTCCTAAACATTCATGTACAGGTGTTTGTATGAACACAGGTTCATTTTTCTTGAGTAAATTCCAAGGAGTAGGATTACTGGGTTATATGGTAAGCATAGGCATAACTTTGTAAGAAACTTCAAAACATTTTTTGAGTAGCTGTACCATTTTGCATCCCCCCAGCAGTGTATACGAGTGCCAGCTCCTTGATATCCTTAACAGTACTCAATATAGTCAGTATATTTTTATTTTAATCATTCTGAGCAATGTATAGTGGTCTCTCACTTGGGTTTTAATATGCATTTCTCTAATGGCTAATGATATTGAACATGTTTTCATCTGGTAAAGTGTCTGTTCAAATCCTTTGCCCATTATTAAAGGGGGTTATTTGTCTTTTTACTTTTGAATTTTTAGTCCTTTGTATATTCTGGATACTTCCTTTGTTAGCAGGGCATCTTCAGGGGAGTGTGACCTGTGCAGCCACACAGGGCTCCACCCTCAAAGGGACCCAGTGCTTTGTTCAGTGTTCTCTGGTTGCAGTCTTGAAATTTATCATTACCAGCCAATTATCACAAAGTTAACATCACCAGTGATAAGTCCTTCTGATATCAGGACCCCTGGCAACAAGTAGGGCACTCCACCCCGGTGGTATTCCCTGCCAAACCACAACCACAGTCTAATTATAAGAAATCACCAAACAAGCTCAAACTGAGAGACGTTTTACAAAATACCTGAGCAGTAGTCCTCAAAACTGTCAAGATCATGAAAAACAAGTGAAGACCAAGAAACTGTCACAGCCAAGAGATGCATATGGAGACATGAGAACAAATGGTACCCTGGATTAGAT